TAGGTAGTCCGAGAATGAAAATATATGAAAGACCGGAGTCTAAAAATTGTTGCTATGATTTTGGTTTGTTATTTGCTATTTTTAGCTAGGGGTTGTCGATTTAATTGTTGCTACAATTATCGATGTAGTTGTTCGTAGGAAATTTGTTTGCTATTTTTTTTTGTAGCATTTTTACATGCTATCACATTTCATAATTAACTGTTTGTATTTGCATTTAATACTTCACAGTTTACAGTTTATACTTCATTGTTTACAGCTTATACTTCCCTCTTTATCATTTTTCGTTTACAATTTGCCTTTACCGTTTGTATTTGCAATTTGCAATTTGCAATTAATGGTTGTTAATATTTGCAATTATTACATTTGTTGTTTTATAACGTTCAATCAGTTTCTCTTTTTATTTTACGTTCAACAGCCACTGCAAAAAAAAAAAAAGGGACCGAGCCATTGTTCAACAACATTGAAGAGAGGAAAAGGAATATTAAATGCATACGGACGTCCACGAAATCAATGTCAATGGTGAAAAAGTTCATGGTGTGAAAGAATATGAGCGATTTCGTTACATTTTTTTTCCGCTGCATTAGGTGAATGTCCCGTTGTCGAACTTCGGCACTGGACACTCTTTGTGTGTGACAAATATTTATGCTCGCGAGAACGTTTCAACTCGTATTTGTCCAAAAAAGATAAAAGATGATCCATTTTTTGTTCATAGTGCTAACATGTAAAAAGTCCTCTAGAGCGCAAAAAAAAATTTATTGTTTAATGATTCACATTCATTTGTTGTTTCAAATTATTTTTGGTGTTTGATAATACAATTTTCAGTTATAAGTTGCAGTTTGCAGTTTTCTATTTTATGTTGCAATTTATTTTGTTGTCCGATTTTTTATTATGTTGTTTGCTGAAATAAAACTAATTAGAAAATGCAAAAAAAAAAATGCAATACTATCGAGAACATACGAAGAAATAATGAAAATAGAATTAAATATTTTTTCAAAGAAATGAAGAATTAATTTTCACATTAGCTAGAGGCTTGAGAGAGAGAAATAATATAAGTGTGCGAGAGAGAGAGAAAGGGGGATGAGAGTGAGAGAGAGAGAGAGAGAGAGAGAGAGAGAGAGAGAGAGAGAGAGAGAGAGAGAGAGAGAGAGAGAGAGAGAGAGAGAGAGAGAGAGGCGTGTGGGTGAGGGGAGAGAGTTGTAACCGTGTGGTGTGGTGTGGAGAGGAGATAGAGTGAGAGATTTGTGGGATTTATTTCCTTAATTTTTAAAATTAACTAATTACATAAACATATTAATTAGGGGTATCTATGTCTATACATAAATAATTTAATTAATTTTAATTGATGGAGGACCTACACCTATATTCATCTAATAGAATGGATCTCCACCTATATAAGTCTAGAATAAGGGGTGTCTAGCCAATTTCCCCAAAATATAACCATAAATAAATTAAGGGGCAATTTGCTATAGGTCCTCCTATAAGAGATTATATGTGTTAAAATCCATCTAATAAACTCTAATTTCCAGCAAATTTTTGTATTTATAATTTGTCAAAAGTACCCCTATCAATATCTCTAGTAATATACGGTAAAATATATATTCAAAATCAAATCCCCCATTTCTCTCCCTATTATACTGCAAATCCGAAATTCCAATTGCAAAAATCTTGAATTCGATTTCTCCCCTTATTCTTCAAATCGAAAATCTCACCACGAATTTTGAATCCTTCAAGAGGTTTTGGGTGTTTGGTCGTTTGCAGTTTTACCAGGTCGTTTGCATTTTGTCTTCGTTTTCGATTTGCTGTTCAATTTTTGGGTTCTTGGTCGTTTGCAGTTTTGGGTGTTTTGGTTGTTTGCAGTTTTCGATTTGCTGCAGTTTGCAGTTTTCGTTTTTTGGGTTCTTGGTCGTTTGCAGTTTTCGATTTGGTCGTTTGCAGTTTTCGATTTGCTGTTCAATTTTTGGGTTCTTGGTCGTTTTACCAGGTCGTTTTGGGTACCAGGTCGTTTTGGGTACCAGGTCGTTTTGGGTGTTTGTCGTTTGCAGTTTTACTTCGTTTATTGCAGTTTACAAATTGTTGTTGCCCACTTTGACTTCGTTTTGTTTGCAGTTTACAAATTGTTTGTTGCTCGGAATCAACGGCTGGTGTTAGGGTTTGTTGTTTGGAGTTCATACGATGGCCAAAACACGATTAAGTCTTGGTAATTAATCAATGATCCTTTTGTATTTAGTTTGTTTGCTATTTATTTCAAATATTTCAATAATAATTTGAGAACCCGTTTTTTTTCCCCTTAACAGCAAAGGATGATGATGATTTCCAATCCCCGAAATCAGGTAAATTGAGGGGTTTGTGTATGTTACGACTTTGGTTATGTTTATTCTAAAACAATACATTTGAAGAACCTAATTATGTGTTCTGACTTTGCTATTTGCATTTCTCTGTTATGAGTTTGCAAGTTGAATTTCAATATGTTCGTTTTGGAGTTCCACATTTTACCGGTTTTGTTCAAATAATAAATTTTTTGATTTTATATTTTTTGGTACTTTGAAGAACCCATTTATTCGTTTTTCATTTGCAAAAAACTCATTTCCTGAAAATTTTGATTCGGACGTAGTTGGGTTAATATTGCATATGGCAGCCTATTTTGAAAACAAGACATGCTTTTGTTTGTATAAACTAAAAAAAAAACAAAAAAAAAAATGTAAATTGAAATTACAATAACCAACTATGGGCTGCATTTTAAAGTTGCACATAGCATATTTGAGGAGTTTCGTTAGTGGTAGTTTCAATCAATGTTTGTTTATTATGAGTTTGCACTTAGTAGTTTTGTTGTTATGATTTCGTACTTAGTATTGTTGTTGTTTTTTGTTATGAGTTTGCATCTTGGAATTCAAAGCGTACATTTGTTGTTCAATATCGTATAATCATTCTTTTTAAATTAACCAGTCGCGGGAAAGAAACGGAACACGCCTTTAAATGCCGGTTCAACATCGTCAAAAAAAGTGAAAACAAAATCAATAGCACCTAGCTTGAGGGCACCAGTTGAGCAGGAAATAGAACCAGCAGTTCCAAATCCGAAATATCGTGCAACACTCGTTTCTGTTGTCCGCTTCTTCAAAAAATATAATTTCAATGGACGTCACATTGAATGTGTTCAAAGGACCGCGTTTGCAGAATTTATACCGCCGTTTATGAGGAGAGAGATCCCAACGCAGGAAGTCCGTAAGTCTGTACAACAAATATATAAAATTCTCGTGACGTACGACAAAAATAAACGTCGATTTATAATTGGTGGAAAAGAGCTTCAGTTAAGCCCTATTGAGTGCCAATTGATTTTTGGGGTAAAAAGCGGCGCCACCGGCATGAATATAACGTTTAAAAAAAGCAGTCATAAACCGAGGGATGGCATCGTAGCAAGGCACTTTCAATCCGTGAAGCGACTACAAGTTAAACATCTGAATGCAACCCTGGATCAATTGATGAAGAAAAACCAAGAACATGACATCGAATTTACAAACATATTTTGTCGTTTCAAATAACTTTGCGAGTTTACAATTTACAGTTTGTACTTCATTCTTTATCATTTTTCGTGTACAATTTGCCTTCATCGTTTGTATTTGCAATTTGTAATTAACGACTGTTTATATTAGCAACTATTACATTTGTTGTTTTGTATCGTACAATCATTATCTCTTTTTGTTTCACATTCAACATCCACTGCAAAAAAAAAAATGATCAAGTCATTGTTCAACAAGATCGAAGAAAGGAAAAGCAATATTAAATGCATCGGACGTTCACAGAATCAATGTCAAATTACGTGTAGGATATGGATTATGCATCGTTTATATTTAATTGTAAACAACAAACTACATATATTTAATTACAAACAACAAACTGAACAATATGATATGCATAATCTATATACAAACAATAACCAGTGGCGGAGCCAGGAATTCGAGACAGGGTGGGCTTAACATTAACGGGGGTTTGGGGGCAGCGCCCCCGATTTTTTTTTTGATTCATTCACATAAAAATATAGCACAAAATAACTACAAATTTATTAACTTAAACTAATATAAGCTATACTAAATTACTTGGGTGGGTGGGCTTAACATTGACGGGGGTTCGGGGGCAGCGCCCCCGGTTTTTTTTTTATTCATTAACATAAAATAGCATAAAATAACCACAAATTATAAACTTCAACTAATATAACATAAAATTTTTGATAGATAAGCTAAACTAAATTACTTGGGTGGGCTAAATTAAACTATTTGGGGGGCTAATTATATATAGATATAATATATAGTATAATTTTTTAAATAATGAGAGTGGGCTGGAGCCCACCCTTGCCAAAGGGTGGCTCCGCCACTGACAATAACACTAAAAAAATGTAATATTACAAATTGCAGTTTGCAGTTTTCTATTCAATGTTGCTAATTTATTTTGCAATTCAATTTCTTTTTGGTATTTATGGAATGAAATTCAATTAAAAAATAGAAACAAAAATAAAAGTTAACTTAAAAAAATTAAATTGAAAGAGATACAAAGAGAGGAGAAAGAGAATAGAGAGAGGGAGAGAGAAAGAGGGGGCGTATATTTGGGGAGGGAGAGAGAGAGAATGAGTAGGAGAGAGAGAGAGAGAGAGAGAGGGGGGGGGCACGTGAGAGTGGATTGAGAGAGGAAGAGTAATAAGTGGGATTTGTTAACCACTTTCATATAAAATTAATTGTTAATTGAGGAGGGTGTTTTTTGTCTATACACTAATAATTTAATTTAATTTACATTAATTTTATTGGGCTAATGACTTATAGCTATATTCATCTAATAGAATGGACATCCACCTATATAAGTCCATAATTAGGGGTGTCTAGCCAATTTCCCCATAAATTAAAAAAAGGAGACGGGAGACGGGGGTAATTTGGAATTTATTCTCAAATAAGGGGTATACCTAAAATATAACTATAAATAAATTAAAGAAAGGAGACGGGAGACGGGAGACGGGGGTAATTTGTAATTTACAGCAAGTCCAATTACAAGTAATATTTCCCTAGTTTGTGTGTTTATGTTAAACCCAGACAGACCGCAGACCTTCTCTTAAACCCTTGTCATCTTCCTCGGCTGCTTCAGTTGAATACCTATTTGAATGAGTTCTCGATCCCCTAAATTCATGAAGTTCATTCGTATTCCTCACACCATCACCCCCACCCCTTCTTATTTCTCCACGCGTATGTTTATCTCTCTCTCTCTCTACACTTTTTCATTTCTCTTTTCTTTTCAGCCTTTTCAATTCAAATTACTATATTATTTTATTTTATTTGGGTGAAATTGATTTCATGTATTACCACTTACAATCACTGCTTTCCTTGAATAAATTTGGTGAACATATTTGAGTAGCTTCAAATTGGTAGACCATGTTTTTTTTTAGGTTCAGTTAGTTTTAGATTCTTACAATTGAATTATAAATTGATTTTTTTTTTTTTTTTTTGTTACAGTGATGATGGGTGTGCAGAGGAGGTCCAATTCTTTTATCTCAACTGATGCGAATGATAACACGGATCAAAGTGGTGGCCGAGGTCTGGAAATTGATGATGACGATTTTCTCCCCGACAAGGCTGAGTTACAACTTCAGGGTGTTGATCCCAGAAAAGGCTGGAATTTCCGTGGTGTCCACCGCGTACATACCATACCACCATCCTTTCTTTTTTCGAATTCCTTTTATGTCAAATTTTTTTCTAACTTCATTAGAATGAACCATCATCATTCTATTTTTTTTTATGTTTGGTCAGGCTATTGTATGTGGAAAAGTTGGTCAATCTCCCGTACAGAAGATCCTGAGAAACGGTAAAACCGTAACGACATTTACGGTGGGAACTGGAGGCATGTTTGATCAGAGGACTATAGGTGCAAACGACTTGCCTAAACCACCTCAATGGCATCGTGTTGCAGTGCATAACCCTATGCTTGGTGCTTATGCCGTTCAGCAACTTGTCAAAAAGTACAATTTAAATTTTTTTTTATATATATATATATATATATATATTAAAATCTCCAAAGTTGTGTCTGTCTATTAATTAATTGGAGCTTGTATTTTACAGCTCTTCGGTTTATGTTGAGGGTGATATTGAAACAAGAGTCTACAATGACAGCATCAATGGAGATGTCAAAAGCATCCCCGAAATTTGTGTGCGCCGTGATGGTATGTTAACTTACATCTTCTTTTTAATTATGTGCTATCAACTTATGCATATTTGTAAACCCCTTCAATCCACGATAAAAGTATCTTCTTGTTATGTATTTGATTTTTTGCATGATTATTTCTTTCTTGATTGTGTGCATCTTATTTCAGTTCAAGGCAAAATTTAGAACCGTCTTTTCTATATATATATAATTGGTTAACATTATCGATCCAGTTACATTGAATAACATTAAAGATGTTCATTTAACATCGAATTACAGAGTTGATTAGAATACATCATCGTTGATCATAAATTCAAGTTTGCAACTTGTATTTTCATTTCTAAATTTGTTAAATCATATGGTTGATTCATTTTTGTTAAGAACTTGTACAGTTGCATTGAAGTTTTGACCCCATTTTAAACGTAAGAATCGTCTAGAGAGGAAATATTTGAAGTTGTTGAGTTATTTGAATTCTGAATTTCGATACTGATGGGATATGCAACTACTGTTGACTTATGATTATCAACGGTAACTGAAAAGGTTAATACTGATCATGGATTTATTAAATAAAGCATATGGGATATGATCAATTCCGACAGAGTCTGAGACACTGATTTATGCTGTTGGTGGTTTATTTTGTTTAACGGCTTTTGCAATGTCGTGGGATCTGTAGTTAAAGTATATGAAATTGTGATAAAAGGAACAGTAAAAAGAATAAGCCAAAAAAAGATGACTGCAGAGTGAGTGTTTTGCTGTCTTAAAATTAACATTTTGAATCTTTGCTGAGCAATGCTTTATGGAACCTATTAAACCATCGTTTCCTTGCCGTATAAATGCATGGGTTGACTTGTCTACAGAAACCTCCATCGTAACAAAATTTATCAGCAGATTATATTATATTATATAATAAATGGAAGAAGAAATAGTAGCTAATATAGGCTTCTATGTATTTGCAATTCAGCTCATTCTAAGATGTTTTCCGTTTGGGAGCCTTTGCCTCGTATTGGAACCTTGAACACTAACAAATAGATACCACCCTCGAGCTCCAGTTTATGCACCAAGTGTGATTTATTGGAATTTATTCAAATATTTTAGTAATTATTTATTGGAATTAGATGACTGTTGACAAGTGATTATCACTAATTCTAGCATATAGCACTAGCTTGTGTATTGTGATGTTACCATACAGTTCATAATTGTTTTGCATGTTTGCAGGAAGGGTTCGTCTTATCAAGGCTGGGGAAAGTATGAGTAATATTTCCATCGATGAGCTGCGTATGTTTCTTTTTCTAATTGTTCACCTGTGCTCAATTCTTTATTGCAATTAGTACCCATTTGTTATATCGTATTGCTAAAAAGCTACCTCATGTTATTTTATTGGCAAACCCCCCCCTTTTTTTTTAGCACACAACCCCCTAAACAGGGTACTAATTGCTAAAATTATTAAATCATAGGGGGTTTTTGCCAATAAAGTAACATAGGGTATTTTTTAGCAATTTGATATAATAAAGGGGTACTAATTGCAATAAAATCATTCTTTACTACATCCTCGATTATAACTGCTCTGCTCTGATATTATTTGATTAATTGTTTTGTGTGCAGGAGAAGGATTATTTTAGTGGAATTCTCATCTGAGCAGATGATGAGTCATATTTTAACAAGTGACTGTTGTTGATTTCAAGTGTATGTGTCCGGATGAAGAAATATATGCTGAGTATTTATAATATGGAAGGGACCTTGTAATGTATATTTATGCTTCTCTTCTATGAGTATTGGTATTTCCTCTCCTGCAACGGGTGATGGTCGGATTTGCAGTTTAACACAAATTTGTAGTTTACTTGAAACTAATTCGTTACTTTCCGTTCGAATTTTCATTTTTGCTTACATCGAATCTTCATGGCTTTACTTTTTTTTTTTTTGTTGGATAGCACCAGACCGGAACCTACGGTTTGAGAGGCCTATAAGACAAAATACGAGGCATTTTTATATTGTTTGTTTACGAAATAGAACTATATTAACATATTTTCATATAATAATTAATAATTTAATTAATCAAATAATAAAGGAATTAAGATATAGGTCCCTGGTATTAGAACTAAACTCAAATTCAAATAAACATTTGCTTCACATTCTTTATTAAATTCATTCCAAAATTGCCTTTCACACACAAAAAAGAAAAAAAAAATCACAAAGTAATGTATTTAAGCTGCATTTATCATTTTTTTAATTTACCATTTAATATTTTAAATTTTGCATCTACCATTTTTGTTAAATAAAAATTTATGTAGAAAAGGTTAATCTCTCTCTCTCTCTCTCTCTCTCTCTCTCTCTCTCTCTCTCTCTCTCTCTCTCTCTCTCTCTCTCTCTCTTTTTAATTTTTTTTTCGCTTTAGTATTTTTTTCATTATTATAAAAAAACTATTTTTTTATACATAAATATGGAAAATTATCAAAAGATTTTTTTTTCATTGTAGTCATCTATAGACAACCATAGGAACACATAGTCATTCTTGGTCACACAATTTGAAAGCCCTAGCCCCCATTGGAACTCTAGTCGCTATCCATAGTCACTTCTAGTCATCCGCACTCATTCAATATGAAACTCTAGATCCCCCACCACCGCCGCTTAGACATGACCACGGTTCAGTTCGGTTCCGATTCCGGTTCCAAACCACCGGTTCCGGTTCCATTTATGGAGGAACCGGAACCGAACCGAATATTTCCGGTTCCTTGCGGTTCGGTTCTTTATGGTTCCCGGTTAGAACCGGTACTATGTTTTTTTAATATACTATAGTATTTATTCTCGTGCGATGCACGGGATAGTATTTCAAAATTAAAAATAAATAAAATGACCAATTTAATACATGACTATAGCAAAAACATCAATATACAAAATGAATTGCTAATATCAACAGATAGAGCAAATAGATATACATAACAAAGAAAAATGTGGAAATGTAGTAATCTTAGAGGGGTGGAGAAAAGAAAACTACATTGCCAATCAGAAAACATTTGTTATTAATCATTATAGTATAATATTAATACCATGTTGTCTCGTCCTCATGTTCGATTCATCAGCAACTAATTCATGTGAGCACCCAACTAAATGCACCAATTATCGTTTCTGTAATGGAGCAGTCTAGAGATGAATCTTCTTGCTTTTGATTTCTTTTTTGCCATCCCAAATTCTCAAGATAGCAGCAATCTTCATAAAACACCTCCAAATACAAAACTAATACAACTCTAAACAAAACTGTTAAAAGAAGCAAAAAGACATTCTCATCACCAGGTAAACCTGTGAAAAAACAGAGAAAAACAATATTAATATACTTGTTGTGAGATTTCTTATTTTCTGATTATTGTATATATCATCAGATATTAGAGAAAATAGTAAAACTTCTTTTTTTTTTTTGCTGAAAATAATGAGTATATGACCATGGTGTACGAAAAACATATGTTACAGTGACACCAAATAAAATAGCAACAACTTCAAACATTTCGATTCCTTTTCTTATAGAAAGAACAAATAACTACTCATCAATTGATTCCCCACATGTCACAGTTGATTCCCTAAATATCATGAACATTTAAAAAAATAAAATTGCTAAAAAGTTGTCTAAGAAGTGTACTAAACAAAACTAATAATTAACAGTTTTCATACAACACTCCACGGAAATTTGAAGAATTATACATCTACTTTTTTAATTATAGCATGTGAGACTGACTGTTGATAAACATCGTTGTTAAAATGAAATTTCAACAAAATAAAGAAAAAAATATATTCCAAACCTATTATTAAAGGGTAACTTTCATAAAACCCAAAAACAAAAATCTAAACATTGATCGATTTAGGAATTCAGAGCACGCAAAATGAATTCTAAAACTGAAAGATCACTAACCATTTCTTCATTGCGATTATGTAGTATTAAAATTGCAGCCAACGTTGACAACGGCGAAGAAATATAAAGAGAATAGGAAAACAAATTTTATGAGTGGAAAAATGGGGAGTTATTCTGAGACTTACATACATGGTTCGCCGGAACGGAACAATGCATTGTCGCGGACATTGCCGTTCCAGTTCCATTGCAACGTCGCGACCGGAAATGACACATTTTAATTTAATTACTAAAGAAATACAATATATTTCAAATATGTTTTTAATAACGATATTACAATACAATAATATGCAAAATATTATTACAATTATTCGTTCTTCATACTATCTATATTCTATATTAAATTTTAAATTACGAAAACTATATCACTATAAATATTCTATATTAAATTATAAATTACGAAAACAATATGACTATCAATATTAAATTATGCACTACAATCTTTTAGCGACGTATAAAATTATAAATTAAAAAACAACAAACATATCAAATTGTACCTTGGAAAGAAGAGTTGATGATTGAACACTTCAATTTTTTTCTTCATGACTTTGTTTATATTTTTCTCTTTTACTCTCGATCCTCCAATGCCTCTGCAATGCCTCTCTATATATATTTTGTATTGAAGATAAAAGCTGATATCAATCCACGATCTGTATTACTATTAGTTCTATTATAGAGTGAAACTGTGGCTTGTGGGAGACATGGATGTGAAAGGCTATAGCCTAGAGTAGTGCATGTGATGATGTGAAAATCTGCACCCAATAGTAAAATAATATTCATCATAATACAAAATATTAGAATCCAAGAAATAATTCACAAGTCACAAGTCAAACAGTAAAAAAAAGAACAGTAGAGAAGTCACGAGCCATTACAAAAAAGTTAATCAAATTAGTCATTTTTTATTTTTTTTAGTCAAATTATGTTTTTTTTTCATATTATTTCTACTGTTCCAGCGCCGTTCCGGCACCGTTCCGGCCGTGTCGGGTCCATTCCGTGGCTCCGTCTTGCCCATCCCTCCGATTTCTCGGCGTTCCGATGAATCCCAGTGAAAACACCGTTCTGGTTACGGATTCCGGAACGGAGGGCACTGTTCCCCTTTCAGAACGGCCGTTCCGGCCGTTTCCCACGCCGTTCCGGCTAACCATGCTTACATATATGCCGATAATGGCGAGAATTGATGAACAATGGAAACGGAAATTGGCGGTTTTAACATTGTGGGTATATATTTTATCGTGTTTTTTCTTTAATATGTAATCGTGTAGTGTAATCTAGAAATTGTGCAAAAAAATATTTTTTTAATAATAATAACTTTCAAGTAAATAGACAAAAATACGTTTTAGGGCAACAAATATTTCACTAAAATGGGGTTAGGGTTTCGAGGTAAAACCTTTCTTTTATATATAAAGATATCAAATTGTACCTTGGAGAGAAAAGTTGATCATTGAACACTTCAATTTTTCTCTTAATGACTTTGTTTATATTTTTCTCTTTTACTCTCTATCCTCCAATGCTTCTGCAATGCCTCTTTATATATATTATGTATTGAAGATAAAAGCTGATCATATCAATCCACGATCTGTATTATTATTAGTTCTATTATTGAGTGAAACTGTGGCTTGTGGGAGACATGGATGTGAAAGGCTATAGCCTAGAGGAGTGCATGTGATGATGTGAAAATAAACACCCAATAGTAAAATCAAATTCATCATAATACAAAATATTAGAATCCAAGAAAAAATTCACAAGTAACAAGTCAAACAGTAAAAACAAGAACATTAGAAAAGTCACGAGCCATTACAAAAAAGTTAATTATATTATTTTTCCATATTTTTTTCAGTTAAATTAGTCATTTTTTCCTTTTTTTTTAGTCAAATTATATTTTTTTCATATTATTTCTACTGTTCCGGCGCCGTTCCGGCACCGTTCCGGCCGTGTCGGGTCCATTCCGTGGCTCCGTCTTGCCCATCCCTCTGATTTCTCGGCGTACCGATGAATCCCAGTGAAAACACCGTTCTGGTTACGAATTCCGGAATGGAGAGCACCGTTCCCCTTTCAGAACGGCCGTTCCGGCCGTTTCCCACGCCGTTCTGGCTAACCATGCTTACATATATGCCGATAATGGCGAGAATTGAGGAACAATGGAAATGGAAATTGGCGGTTTTAACATTGTGGGTATATATTTTATCGTGTTTTTTCTTTAATATGTAATCGTGTAGTGTAATCTAGAAATTGTGCAAAAAAATATTTTTTTAATAATAATAACTTTCAAGTAAATAGACAAAAATACGTTTTAGGGCAACAAATATTTCACTAAAATGGGGTTAGGGTTTCGAGGTAAAACCTTTCTTTTATATATAAAGATATCAAATTGTACCTTGGAGAGAAAAGTTGATCATTGAACACTTCAATTTTTCTCTTAATGACTTTGTTTATATTTTTCTCTTTTACTCTCTATCCTCCAATGCTTCTGCAATGCCTCTTTATATATATTATGTATTGAAGATAAAAGCTGATCATATCAATCCACGATCTGTATTATTATTAGTTCTATTATTGAGTGAAACTGTGGCTTGTGGGAGACATGGATGTGAAAGGCTATAGCCTAGAGGAGTGCATGTGATGATGTGAAAATAAACACCCAATAGTAAAATCAAATTCATCATAATACAAAATATTAGAATCCAAGAAAAAATTCACAAGTAACAAGTCAAACAGTAAAAACAAGAACATTAGAAAAGTCACGAGCCATTACAAAAAAGTTAATTATATTATTTTTCCATATTTTTTTCAGTTAAATTAGTCATTTTTTCCTTTTTTTTTAGTCAAATTATATTTTTTTCATATTATTTCTACTGTTCCGGCGCCGTTCCGGCACCGTTCCGGCCGTGTCGGGTCCATTCCGTGGCTCCGTCTTGCCCATCCCTCTGATTTCTCGGCGTACCGATGAATCCCAGTGAAAACACCGTTCTGGTTACGAATTCCGGAATGG